ATTACATAAAATATATTTATTTGTTATCAGTGAATAAATACCAGATTATACCCTTGAGAAACGAAGGAAATTTATGTAGGCTAAGTCTGGATAAATTTGAATGCTAAGTTGGTATGTTTTTTAGCAGCCACTTATGGTTGTTAAATATGAAATATGTCAGCAACTGGACAGGTTTAATATCTGGTAGATATGCATCAATTACATCATGGATATCTTGTCAGTAAATACACTATTAAGTAATCTAATGGTACAAACTGAATTTAGCATTTCTTTTCTACCTCCAATTATATTCATTATTTTAGAAGCATAACCCCCATCCTTGTGGAACGTTACTAGAATTGTCAATGTACCTGTTTGTATAAGTCTGCATAATAGACTTGGCGTAAAGTGTTTGAAGAAATTCAATGCTTAACATTTATATGGTTGCGTTGATTTTTTGTGACTGTTTTATGGAATCAAATATACTGAACAGGGAAGATAAAAATTTGTGTGCTTGCCTTTTCTATTTTTTCTAAAGATGATTTTTTAAAAATCATAGGTTTATAGTTGAGGTAGGTAATCCATCTGATTCGAGGGTTCATGGTTAACATGAGCAACCTACTAAGCACTTATTTAGTAAGTTATATTTATTTTTCACAGTTTTTCACATGCAATATAGATCATTTAGTTCCTAGAGATAATCTTTCTTTATAGTGGACACAGGAACACATTTTTTTCTCTCCTTTACATTCATTTTAATACCACACTCAATAATTCTCTTTGAATTTCCCTTTATATCTAATAACTTTAATTATTTCCTAAGAAATGTTAAAAGAGTTATCCATCTTTACTGTACCTATTAGACAATTAATGAATATTTTATAGTTGACCAAATGTAATTTGGTAAATTAAATTCAGTTTGTTTATTCAACATTTCAGCATGTATCTACTACACACATGGTATATTTAGGTTGCTAGGCTCATTGAGGGCTCCAGAGGTGAATCACAAGAAGGTCACTGTCTCAATAAGTTTATGAGAAAAGGTGAGTGCAAATAACTCTAAGCAATGTGAAGTATGATAAGGTCATAAAAAGGAAGTTTTAAGAAGGTTACACTAATGAGAGAAGATTTTCTGGAGAGGTGGCACTTTGTAGCATATGTCCATGTCCTCAGCTGCCATCCATAAAACCCACCCAAAGTGGAAGGACGTTCTCTGATCCTTTCCTCGTGGCACTAACACCCACTGTCATTAGGATCCAATTCATTCTAAACCTGGGAATTATTTGCAATGTCATGTGTTCCTCAAGACAACAGTCTATTAAAACAACAAATAACACTAACAGGTTTTTGAAATCCATCTCTTCACATTTTTCTTGCTTTAGCACAGGTTGATTTTGGAGATAAAATCATTAGGTATAAAGTTTAGAACTAAATTGTGGCAACATTCTAGGTAAGTGATAATTCATTATTATCACATTATAATGGCATGGCCCGAGATTTCTCATTTACTCCACAGGCCTGCCTAATGAACAGTTGAGCCAACATAATCAGAGATGCAAGCCCATGGTGCTTATTGGTGAGTCAGTGAATTCTGGGAACCTGGGTCTATATTTATATCAGCATTTCTTATTTCACTATAGCCGGGTGGTCTGTCAGTACACTGTATGACTGGTTATTCTCTCTTAATAAAATAGATAGAGCTCCACAAATTAAAATGACTGATTTTGGTTTACTATCTTTTCTTTTCTTTCTTTCTATTTTTGTTTTTTATTTTTTTAGAAGCAAGGTCTCACTCTGTTGCCCAGGCTGGAGTGCAGTGATGTGATCATAGCTCACTCCTTGAACCCCTGAGTTCAAGTGATCCTCCTGCCTCCAGTCTCCCAAAGAGCTGGGATTACAGGCATGAGCCACCATGCCTGGTCCTACCATCTTTGTTATGTGTACTTTTTTAATGATTAAAACTAGTTGCCACCTTAAATTAACATTTTAAAATAAAGAAAATATTTAGTTCTGAAATTGCATTATTCCTTTACCCACTTTTTATTAAGAAAGTTTTAGTCACATTGTAGAAGGATTATTTTCTAGTTTATAGAGCTAATATATTTATTTTGCAACTATTGAGTACGTAAAAAGGAACCCCAAAAGATCTGGAAAAGTGGTTTCCATTTTAAAAATACTATACTGTATTGTGTTCTGGTGCTTGAAGTTGGGTTAACCATCTGAGTTAGTAAAAAGTATATATGTATTTTAATATACTATATACTTGTTTGTCAGTAAAAGATGAATTTTAAAAATAAATATGGATAAAACCCAAAGTAAAAAATAAGGTGCCATGTAAACTGTCATAACAAAATTTACACATAATACATTGTTTTATAGATGAACTTTTATGCCTCTGTCAATTTTGCTGAAATAGTCAAATACTTCTTTATAAGAAAGATCTGAACACCCTCAAAGAATAATATGGAATAGTGATCTGTATGATTTTAACTTTTCCATGAATGAAAATTGCTAAAATGACAAAGGACCATAAAGTCCCAACTTAGAAACTTTACCTTATGTTGTTAAGGAAATCTGTCCAATTTATTTGTGGATTCTATAGGACTTGGGATTGGGACGTGAAATATAGGTTATCAAATGTCCTGTATCTGCATGTGTGACCCAGTTAGTTCACAAGACAGGTATTTATTAAGTACCTGTTTTATCCCAGATTAGTTATTGGTGGTATCCAAATGAACAAGGTAAAAAATTGCTGTTTTTATTTGATTCACAGGCCATATTTATGTAAACTATATTATATAGTATTTTTTTTATTTCAAAGTGGGGAGATTAGAGCCATATTTGGGGCTAAGAGGCATTCACAATACATCTATAATGTAGCAAATCTGGCCATTCTTGTGTTAAGCTGTGCAGATGAGAAACATGCACAGGGAAAACTGATAGAAGATTCAAAACACATTTACATGGGTAAATTTCTATTCTTCTTATTAGAATAAACATGGTAAATCTACGTTCAGCAATTTCATTAATGGCCTTGAGTAAGACAGCAAACAGCCTATTAATTCATTCATCAATGACTTTAAATTCAGAGGTGCTGCAAACATCACCATGGACAGAGAAATGATGCCACAAGAGAGGAGAAGAGAAAAAGGAAAACTGAGTCTGGATGAAGCAGAAAGCATTCATGAAGTTAGCTTGGTGCTCATGATAAAAGGCCTCCAAATTATTAAACACCTAATTTACACTCAATAATATCTGCATGGCAGAGAAGCACATACTGGGAAATGGAGATATCAAATGATACCTAAATCTAGTTATGTTTATGAAAACAAATAGGTAAAGAAGTAAAGTAAGACCTGTGTATCTTGGCACCCAACTTATTAAGTCAAATTCTTACTCAAGGGTCAGGCATGGTGGTTCATGACTATAATCCCGGTGCTTAAGGAGGCCAAGTTGAGAAGATCACTTGAGGGTAGCCTGGTCAACACAGCAAGACCCCATCTCTAAAAAAATTGTTTTCAAATTAGCTAGTCCTGGTGGCATACACCTATAATCCTAGCTACTTAGGAGGCTGAAGCATGAGGATTGCTTGAGCCCAGTAGTTCAAGGCTGCAATAAGCTATGATCAGGCCACTGTACTCCAGCCTTGGTGACTGAACAAGAACCTGTCTCAAAAAAAAAAATTATCCCTCTAAAAGAAATATACAATTCACTTAAAATTAATAAGGAGGTCTTTGTATTATACCATAGATGAGGTATTTAAAAATACTTAGCTTTCCTTTTTCATGTAAGAGACACAGTTGGCCTCTACATTCCTATGTGGACAGCCTATGGGTTATGCATCAATTTTCTGTCTATGTTTAGTTGTTTTGACCTGAGAGAAAAGCTGGATTTTACTTGTTTTAGAAAATACAGGGGAATGGGGTGTCTTAATTGTCCTGCTGTGGTGTTCATGGATCTTTCTGTTCATTCCCTTCTGCCCCAGAGTGTGAGCAGCTGGCTTTCCAGCTGTGAACAGGGTTTGGGACATCTCCCTGTGGGGTAGACATAAATCTTGCCACAGGGATGCAGACAGAAGGTTTTTTGTTTTTGTTTTCTGCTAGATTATTCCATTGCAAGACTCTTGCTGGAACTGAAGGAGAAAACCATACTCACCAAAAAGTATTTACCCCTCTTTCACTAATGCATGTTCTTTGCCTCTTCATTTCAAATTTCAGAAAGAGACCCTTTTACGTTTTAAGCAGTAATTCAAATAAGCATTATTTCTTTACCTTTTTTAATCTATTGGTCTGTGAACTACAAAATTAGTTTCTTCATCTTTGTTAAGATTGCATGCATTCAGTGTGACAAGAAATGCTGGTAGCAACCTAACTTGCCACCAAACAAGCTTATGCCCTCAGCAGCTGTAACCAAACTTATGCTACATGATGTTTGCTTTGATTTCCTTGTCATAACACCTATCCCCTTATGCCTGAATCTGCTCACACAATTTTCACTCCCAGAAGTGAGCATTCCAAACTTGTAGGGATTAGAAGTCAACTCAGAAATCTAGTCTAATTCCTATGACGATGGAGTATAACTAATCTATCATTACAGAATTTCTATAGGAAATACTTTATAAGGAGTAAACACAGCTCAAGATAGAGTAAAAGTGCCACGATATCCATTGTATAATTCTCAAAATTACATAAACAGATGGAGTTCTGTGTGAATGGCCTTTTCCTAAACAAGAAGATGATAATCCAGTGGGAAGTCAATACTAATTCAACTTTGCCTTCATTACTCATACTCTCATTGTTTATTGCTGAACTGAGTCTAATATGATGACATCCATCCACTGGATGGTAATTAGATCTTAAAAGAAATAGTGAAAATTCTAAGGACTCCAAGAAATGGCATGGCAATAATTCATTCTACGTATAATTATTTTTCTTGTTTGGACTTGTTGAGTCTGCTTGCCTAGAGAAGAAATGCAGAAATAGTTGTTGTTAAGCACTAATATTGTTACTCTGCTCTGTCAGGTGTGTTGTAGAAGACAAGAACTCAAAGGTGGCCTGGTTGAACCGTTCTGGCATCATTTTTGCTGGACATGACAAGTGGTCTCTGGACCCACGGGTTGAGCTGGAGAAACGCCATTCTCTGGAATACAGCCTCCGAATCCAGAAGGTGGATGTCTATGATGAGGGTTCCTACACTTGCTCAGTTCAGACACAGCATGAGCCCAAGACCTCCCAAGTTTACTTGATCGTACAAGGTAAGGAAAGTGTGGGATACAAGGGCAGTAAGAAAGAGGTGGGATTTGCAGAGTAATAATGTACAAAGTATTTGTAGAGGCCTTTATGAAAAGAAATATTTTCAAAGATACTATTGCTCTTAAGCATCAATTTTCTGTCTAGAAGAGTCTTAAAATGAGAGGACCAAAAACAATATAGAGGAGATACTCCTGTTACTGTGAGCCAGTGCCATTGGCGAAAATGTTTTCACCAAGCACTGAGTGTGAAAACATATAGCAAAAGCCACAGCTGATGGAACAAGGTAAATCAGGGATACCAGAACACATAGGATGCTTAGAGCCATAAGAAGTATACTTTTCCACTCAATTAAGTACCAGATGCTTTGCTGAGTTGAAGAAAGTTTGGGTTTATCCGTCCTCACCCTGAAGATCATCACTAATTATCTTTCTTTTATGATAGCAAAATTCTTCTGGAAAAATAAAATTTTCCAGAGGACTTTTTAATTTTTTCAGCAGCCCAGGTTTCTGTGTGGTTTGTATCTCTACTAATGACAAGTTACTGGTGATCAAATCCAGTGACAACGATCTGCAAAGTCATTGGGGACAATTTGCTTCTAGATCGGGGTTTCCAAGGGCATATCTGAGTCATAGTTTTACGGAATAAAAATCCTAAATGGCATTCACATGCCCCCAAACTATTGCTCTGTTGGATTTCTTCCCTTATAATTGCAGAATGAGAACAAAGCTGATCAGCTGCACAATTTTATTGCAAGTGAAGTCCAACCACCAGCAGTTTCAATGTATCTATCAGGAAAGATCTAAGCACTAACAAACATTAGGGCTGTGTTCATGTATTCTTGATTTATAATTTTATGTAAATTTAATGCAAATTAGGCATGGCCCTAGGGCTCCTGTCAAGGTTCCAATGCAGTCAGTGGTGTGGCAATGTTTGACTGTAGCTTCTATTAATATGTTATGGAATTGATTATTGCAACATTTAAATTATTGCTTTCCCAACTCCTCTGATTAATAGATTGAAACTGGAATAAAATACATCAGAGACTGCCTGGTGCAGGGGTGTTTTAGTCATGTGACCTCTATTTTGGTCCATTTGCAATGGCCAACAGCTTCATTTTATTGCTTGTGAAAAGCATGTCTAGTAGCTTACAAAGTTCCAATCACAGTCAAAGCATAAGATGCTTTTCTTTTAGCTTAGTAGAGAGGACTTAAGCTCCATTACAAGAGTGACACCAGGGTATGGATCTTAGGCAACCTATTTAAATTTGTAAACGTAACCAGAAATACATTAATATGTCAAAGGGTTAATTTACCAACTCCCTCAAAACAAATACAAGCACACATTTATTCACACACACACACACACACACACACACACACACATCAAAACAAAATAAAAAATTCTACTAAATTCAATGGCAGAAGGGGAGATAACTAGTTTACTTAGGACCCCTTAGAACAGATTTTACCTACTGACCAGTTATTGAGATTCTCTCATGATTTTTCTTCTTTGACTTTTGAGGTAAGATTGTTTATTCATATATTTCTTTATAATGGATTATGCCTGAAAAAAATTGCTTGATGATATTTCTATACAATTTTAGCTTTATGACCTTTGATGTCACTAAAAAGCCACTAGAGACTGTAACTAGTAATTGTGTATTGTCCCATACTGAATAAATTTGACAATCTGAGCATTGTATCCCTTGGTTTCTAGATGAACAAACAGAAGTTTATTGAATTTAGATTTCTTGCTCAAGGTCACAAGACAGTGCAGAGAATAGTTGAGTGCCAAGCAGATCTAGAAACCTAAAGCACTTTCCACTGGAATGGAGATTTTTGGGTTTTTGTTTTTATGCCATTACTTTAAAGATTAATTTAAGGATTTATAGTTAAGAATTTATATTTAAGTCTGAGCTCTTAGCACCAAATGCCCCATGTTCCTCTTCTTTTTCTTATTTACCTTTGTATTCTTAAGCTACAAACATGACCATCTCTCAAGGGCTAGAACTAAAACTATGTTAGATACTGCATGTACCTTCCTGACATGGCAGTGCAAGTGAAATTAAATTTAACTTAAGGGTTGGAGAAGAACCTACTAAGTGCCAAGTACTGTTTATCTACTGTTATCTACTGTCTCATTTCATTCTAGTAATATTATTTTAAGTAGATATTTATCACTTTATTTTATGTATGTGCAAAAGCTTAAAGTTCAGAGATAGGAAGGAGCCTGCCCAAGGCTCTCTGATGGCTTAGGACAGGGTTTTAAACCCACATTTGTCTGATTAAAGATATTATTGTATTTTGTTCCCAGCCACATTGTTTTGACAGAAAAAGTCAGCAACAAAGCTTGTACTTACAAGGGGGATGAAGAAAGCATGGTCTCTTCCTTAAGCCTGAATCACCAAGGGAAGTTTTCGGACAGTTACATGCATGTTAGATAATTTGATCTCAAGCACCAGATGGCTGAATCACACCACCTTGGGGCATTCAGCCTTATGACCATCAGAGGTTCCATCCATTCACCCTGTTCCCATTAATTTCTACTCCATTCTTTAACTCCACATTGTTTCCATCACATCAAAGTTATTACTAATAGGAATGACTGACATCTCCCTTTTCCCTAACCTCACGGCATCTTTCTTTAGATCTAAGATACTTTTGATTTTTTATGTCCTGCCTCGATCACCCTCCATGGTTTCTGAAAATGCAGTTCAACTAATCATTGTGTAAATGCTATATTCCTTTTCCTTACACAATAGTGAGGCCACCCTGAGCTCAAAGGTGCTACGAGAATAGCAGTTTAGAAGGTGGGCTCTGCAGAGTTGCATTGCATGATTCAAATCTGTTTTCATTCTTGCTATTTAAATATACTGTGGGGGTAAACCACTTAATTTCTCTAAGGCTCAGTTTTGTCATAAGGAAAATATACATAAAACTAACATTTTAAATCCTCCTAAATTTATTTTAGGGATTAAATTAGATGATCTGTTAAACTTCTAGTCCAGTGTCTGGAGATTGTATTTTCTTACCCAGTAGGTTAATGATGATGTTGATAACAACAGTGTTGATGATACCATGATGTTGCTGGTGCTCCAGTGTTTCCATAAAGCTCACTCCCGGCCTAAGGTGCTACCCAGAGTCTAACAGATGCCTTTACTCATTGCCTATAATTCTTGTAGTAGGCTCTTTCAAGTTTTTATTTTGGGTCCCTCTAGCCTATGTTTTCAGCTGTCCTTTTCCTTAGCATCCAGTTTTCAGCTTTACTTCCTTAGGATTCTAGAGAGCTTCCTTTTTAAATAGTTATTTTAGGTTTGGGGGTACACAGATAAACACATGTCATGGGGGGTTGTTGTACATATTGTTACAACACCCAGGTATTAAGCTCAGTACCCGACAGTTATCTTTTTTTATCCTCTCTCTCCTCCCACCCTCCACCCTCAAATAGACCTCAGTGTCGGTTGCTTCCTTCTCTGTGTTCATAAGTTCTTATCATTTAGCTCCCACTTATAAGTTAGAACATATGGTTTTTGGTTTTCTGTTTCTGCATTAGTTTGCTAAGGATGATAGCCTCTAGCTCCACCTGTGTATTTGAAAAAGACATGATCTTGTTTTTTTTTTTTTTTTGAATAATCATAGTATGTCTAGGTATACCACACTTCCTTTATCCAGTCTGTGATTGATGGCACTTAGGTTGATTCCGTGTTGTTGCTATTGTGAACACTGCTGCAATGAACATTCGCAGCATTCTACCATAGATAGCTTCTTAAACTAACATTTCTAGATATGATTCTTGCATAGCCTTCAGCAAGGCAACATGTTGGTTTACTATGCTTGGCAAAATGCAGATTCTGGAGAACCACATCCAGAACAATGGAATCAGAATTTCTAAAAATGGAACCTAAACTTTGAATAATTATGCTCTGCAGGTGATTCAGATGCACACATACAAAAATCAAGAACTACTATTCTAAGGATCTAAGCAATCAGTGAGAGGCATTTACTGCTGCCTGCCTGCTCATTTTCCTATATGACATTGAATCAAATTAAATGTAAAATTCTACAGAGCAGGTACTAGAGCCTTATAATAGTAAAAAATCTAAAATATCTGTGGACTCATCAAAAACATAGATTAATCACATGTGCTTGAGCCCAGGGAATACTGGGTCCAAGAGCTATGGAATTTGTTTTAAATGTTACATTAAAAACTTCCATGTGTGTGTGAATACAAAGGAAATCCTGACATGACAACATTTTAAACTGTGAATCTTATTTTTAAATATCCCGTTCACCATACTTTACAACACATCTTTTATCATATTTTCAATTTATATATTGCCTAATTGTTAAGTTGGTACCAATAATAGAGCGGTCATTTTTAGGCTGAATCTTTTGCTCCCATTTTTATACTATTCTAATTTGGTTAATGTTGTTTTTAAAATAGCCTAATCTGCAAATACTAATATTGGAGATGATTTTTTTAACATTTTGAAGTTTTAAAATGTATTTCTAAATAAAGACTTAAATTTCACTGTAGTATTAAATAGAATCCCATACATTTTTCTCCATACTGACTTGAATCACACATATGGCTTGTGGGACTCTATCCATTAGTTGCCAGAAAATTTTTATTGCATAATTACTTTATTTAAAATAATATAATTGTGAAAAATATGAGAGTGGGACTCCTTACAAGACCAACATGTTTGGTGTGTGTTTTTTAAAATCTCTACATTTAAAAAGCCTCATTTCCTGTATCTCATTAATCCTAGAATTTTTATAATGACTTAAAATTGTAATGTCTCTAAGATGCCCTTTAAATTTAATAATTGAAACTTAAATATTAGGAAGCCCAACTCAATTTTTTTTTTTTTTTTTTTTTTGAAATGGAGTCTCTCTCTGTCGCCAGGCTGGAGTGCAGTGGTGCAATCCTGACTCACTGCAACCTCCTCCGCCTCCTGGGTTCAAGCAATTCTCCTGCCTCAGCCTCCGAGTAGCTGACT